AGGGATGGATGGAGGCAGGGATGGATGGAGGCAGGGAAGGATGGAGGCAGGGATGGAGGGAGGCAGGGATGGATGGAGGCAGGGATGGATGGAGGCAGGGAAGGATGGAGGCAGGGATGGAGGCAGGGATGGAGGCAGGGAAGGATGGAGGCAGGGATGGAGGCAGGGATGGAGGCAGGGATGGATGGAGGCAGGGAAGGATGGAGGCAGGGATGGAGGCAGGCAGGGATGGAGGCAGGCAGGGATGGAGGCAGGCAGGGATGGAGGCAGGCAGGGATGGAGGCAGGGAAGGAGGCAGGGATGGCTCACTCACGCGTGAAGCTGGCGGTCGTGGGAGGGTTGAGGCTGTCACAGCTGTCAGCACTGTCACTGCTGGAGACCTCATCATCTGAGTTGGAAACTGAGGAGCCCACATCCACATCATCGAATTTCCTCTTGAGCCCCGAGCCCGAGAATGCATCCATTGGCTTCAAAAGGCTTCCTTGGGGAGCCAACCACGATGGCCCCAAAGCTGCTCACCACCGGCTAGCCAGGAGCATTAGGATTCTGCCCAGGGGAGAAGAAGAGTCAGCACTACTGTCCCGAGCGAGACAGACCCATCTCGTCCGGAAGCACATGGCTCTAACTGAAGAGGAAGAAGCTCCACACCTGGCCTGGCACTAGTCTGCCTTCCCAGGACCAGGTCGTCTCTCTGCCGACTCTGGCCAGCGTTCTTACTCACTTCCCATCCTGCTGGCCACAGGAGTCACTGACCCAGGCTGCCATTCCCTTTCTTCAGATCACACAGGAGGGCACTCCCAGGATCACTGGGGGACTAGCTCAAAGACAGCAGAGCCTTTGCCTAAACCAAAGTCAGACCCAAGTATTTAGCCCAGTGATAACATAGTCTGGCGTTTCCCCAAGTGCATATCTTAAATACACTAGTTCCATGGATATTAATAGCTTTTTGAATGAAAATAGGACTGCTGTTAAAATAGTTTAGAAAACCACTCATGGCAGAACCTCTTAGGGGTTTTTAATACACTTATGAGCACTCATGGTAAAGGCAGGAGGAAAACTGTGCAGCGTTTCACAACCTGATTATTGAACCCACAGTTTCCAAAGTATGTTAGGGGCAGATAATCCCTGGGCCGCACTTGGGGAAATTCTGCTGCAGGCTCTCAATGTTGAAGGACATTGGCAGTCAGGAAAACCCTTGACCCAGATCTTCGCAAGTGTGAAGTGTCTCACCAGGCTCCCAGAAAGGGCAAATTTAGTACTCAAGAAAGGAGCCAAGATTAGAATCTGCACTGGCTTCAAAACCCAGAAAGTGGGGCTGTGGGTGTAGCTCAGTGGCAGAGCGCTTGCCTCGTACACACAAGGCCCCGGGTTTGATCCCATCCCCATAAATGGAACAAAAACCAGACATGTTCTCAGTCTTATACTGGTCTCTCATCATTCCCTGTGTAAAGAAGGAAGTAGAGCTTTACAGTCTCTGGCCTCTGAAAAGAAACTACCAAGGAAACCAGAAAAAGAAGTGACAGTCCTGGCTACACCAGCACAATCTTTCTCCATCTTTCTTTGGACTTACGTTCTGAAAGGACATGGATCTGCAGGAGAAATGCTGTCAGAGCCAAACCCACATGTGACGAGGAAAGACACTTCCCACACTATGATCTCACTGGTTGCTAACTGTACAGCAGGATTAACAGCACTGCCCAGGAGACAAGGCTGCATTACTGCAGAGCAGCTACCCAGAATTCACTGTGGAGACAGACAAGAGAGATCTGCTACAGTCCTGGTTTTCTGGACTACATCTTTAGTAGCAATTTAGATCAGCTCTACAAAGTTAACCAGACCTGGTGCGTGCTTTGGGGATTTCCTAAAATACCTACTCAGATCATATAAAAATTCTGCATTCCAGTCACAAGATGAACTGAAGCACCTTTGCCTTCATAGGTTTCAGACAAGCACATCCCTTAAGTAAGTTTGCCCAAGAAGAACAATTCAAATCAAGATCTTGTTAAGAATTATAATCAAGGAGCTGAGGGTGGTGGTGAACACCTAGCAATTGCAGGGAGAGGCAGGCGGGTCTCTGTGAGTCTGAGGCCAGCCTAGAGAGTTCCAGGACAGCCAGGGTTGTTACACAGAGAAACCCTCTCTTGAAAAACAAAACAAATAAACAAAAGAGAATTATAATCAAGGGCATGGTGGCACACATCTTAATCTCAGCATTCAGAAGCATAGGCTGGTGGATTTCTGAGTTTGAGGCCAGTCTAGTCCAATAGTGAATTCTAGGACAGCCAGAGCTACATAGAAACTGTCTTAAAAAAATAAATTAAAAAAAAATATATAGAGACAAAAAAGGCTGGCAGTCAGCAGCCGAGAGTGCTGGATGCTCTTCCAAAGGATGTGGGTTCAGTTTTAGCACCCAGCCCTCTAACTCCAGTTTCAGGGAGTCTGAAACCCCGTTCTGGCCTCCTCAGGCACCAAGCACACAGTGGTATGCAGACACATATGCAGATAAAAATGCCTATTCACATAAAATAAATCCAAAAAGCTCTTTTAAAGAATCCAATGAGTCCAAGGTGTCAGCTGTGACCCTTGGGTCTGACCACAGGTCACCGTCTTAGAAATGACAAGCATCAGGAGTGAAGGGGCTTTGTGTGGGTTAGGATTTTAGCTGGGCTAAAGATGATACCTTTCAGCTAACAAATGTCTCGCTCCGTTCTATTCTGGGTGAAGGGGGGGGGGCACCTTTGTCACTAAACACTCATGTGGCTACTATAGAGGAAAAGGAGACTGTTGTCTGCTGGGTCCACACCACCAGTGCCTTCTCAACCACAGGAGAAACCAACACTGAGCAGGAAACCTGCTTTCTTGGAAAAGGCTTAAGCGCCCCTTCAACTTAACTGAGCTTCTAGAAAAATGGCCGTTCCTCAGCCTGGAAGCACTCAGGGATTTGTGATTGGAAGCAAATGTGCACTCGGCTCTCTCCTTAGGATCCTCTGCTTCCGGGCGTGTGGGTTTCCTCTGACTATTACTCTTTAAGTCTCACATGAACTTGGATCTGGGCCAAACCCATCTTTATTACTAAAATTCCCCCTTATCTTGACTCAGCTGCCCTCAAGAGAACCCTCTGGTCAGGGCTACTTTGTGCCCTTGAGTGTGGCGATGCCGGCTGCTTGCTCTAAGCCTCTTCGTTCACATCTTCTGACTTCTGGGCAATGGCAGAGGTAGGTAGGAAAGGGAGGGAGAGGGAAAGACGTCAAAACGTAAGGAAAAGTAATTTCCGTAAGCTGTCAATAATCAGGTCTACACGTGTAAATAATGTGTACACTGATCTATATGACCTCTTCCATTAAATGGCTGGGGGTGTAGTCAGTAGTACAGTGGTTGCCTACCATGCTGGAAGCCTTCCCTGGTTTCAATTCCCAGCACCACAAAATAAACAAAAACCATTTATTTCATGGACGATACTCTGGAAAATTCTTGAGATGCAGTGTTGTAGCTCTCTTCACCTTGCTCGGGATGTCAGCAATACTTCCTGTAATGTAGCCCAGACTGGCCCCATAAGGCCCCAGCTTGTTTCTGGAGAAAGGTGTGGAACTCACAGTGGTCCTCTTGCTGTGCTGGGATCCCAGGTGTGTGCACCAAGGGCAGCCCTCCAGCACTGGAGAACTTAAATCTCTATCGTCATCTCCTGGCAAACAATGTATGTTTATATTCCAACTTAGCTCTCCTTGTCCAGCTCTCTGGGATGAACTTGACCATGAGCCTCCCACCTAGTTAGTCCCACAATGCCTTGAAGAACTCATGTAGTACCACAGTAACCACGAGAACAGGTTCCATGAAGAACCAGCCATTCCCACGGGTTCAACTATTCCCTTAACCATTGGCAAAAGATCAACGCCTGAGTTCAGAAGACACTCATTAACCCTCACCTGATGGCACAGGCATGGAATCCCAGCACTTAAGTGCAGGAGGAGCAGGAGTTCAAGGTCATCCTTGGCTACGAAGCAAGTTTGTAGCTAGTCAAGGCTACAGGAAACCCTGTTTCGATCCCTACCCCTCCACTTCATGCCTTATATCCAAGCAGTCAAACCTATACAGAAATAACCAAGGCGAGACTAGAAATGTAGGCCAGAATACTTAACCGTCTAACTACACATCTCAAACAACAAATAATGGTATCTCTCTATAGAAGCTTCTACATGCTGGTGAAATAAGTCAGCTGACCCATTCTGACGACATGCCTTATGGTGTTTTGTTAAGTGTGTCCAGCTGAACGGTTCCCCAGGGTACACAATATAGTTCATAGCTATCTACACAGAAGCCACTCGGCTAGCACCAAATAAAACCAGCATGCGCATTGCAGTACTAGGTCTAAGCCTTCTTCAGGCTGACGAGGACCGAAAAGAATAGCAAAAACTGGGTGTGGCCAGCACAAGGGAGGCAGAGGCAGGCAGATCTCTGTGAGTTCCAGGCCAGCCTAGTCTACAGAGTGAGTTCCAAGAGAGCCTATGTAAAGGGACACTGCCTCTAAACAAACAAACAAACAAACAAACAAATAAATAAATAAGCAAGCGGGGCAGTGTAGGGAAAACTGTGGACGCAGAGTACATTTGTAAAGTTTGGGTATGTGAGCCTTTTTCTTAAATGAGTCCAAAATCCTAAGACAAGGTTCACCTCACAGGAAAGAGCCTTTCCACCCAACTAGAACCCAGAACCTCGTGTTCTGCTAAAGGTCAAGGGATCTTAGGCTGCTGGCCACCACTGAGGCAGAGCTGTGGGGAGAAAAGCTTGCCCTCACACCATCCAGTAAATCTGAGGAAGACGCCCTACCCTGCGTCCCTTTTACAAGATACTGTGGGTGATCCTCAAATCTACAGTTTCACAGATCCATGCGTCCTTGTCATCACCAAGATCATGACATCGGAAAAGCACTTAAGCACTTAAAAGCTGAAAACCTCCTGTTCAAGCTGGGTGTTTAAAGAAGGCCCTTTCCCGCCCCCACTCCGGGTTTCTACCCGTTTACTAACTAACACGAGGTTAGAATTTGGCTTTCCACATGTAAGCCACATCCTAGAGAAGACACAAGATCTTTGTGGGAGACCTGGAACATGATGCTGCATTAACTCTCCTCTGAAGGATAGCGTCATTTATAACTCTGCCACATACCAACACCCTGGCTTTAGAGATTTGTAAGATTTAAAGACACCAAAGAAAAGGAGAACGTGAATCGGCTGCGGTTTTACCACGAACTGGAAACCGGGAGGACAAGGACAACAGTGTTGTCTCCTGGGGAGAAGAACTTCTAACCTTTCATACTGAAGAACAGTTTGTATGTCACACTGACACTCTAAACCCTTCGAAAGGATGAATCAAGACCATAGCACTCAAATGGGGATGGGTGGCAGGCGGCTGCGTGTTTGGGCCTGGAAAAAAAAAAAAAAAAAGATCGAGCTAGCAACCAGGACAAGCAATGCTCTCATTTTCGCACATAACGCCAGAAACACGGGAGGCATCGGGAAGCAGAGCAGAAGGTCCATGTCCAAGTCACCAGTCCCCCTTAACGCAGCCCTCCATCCATTGATTCCCGCTAGCCTTCCCGCTCGCTCGTTCCGGTCGGTCGTCCGCAGTCCGCACACAGCCCTTCCACATACATCCTCCGGCCCGCTACTCACAAATTCCCAGCCACTCCTCCCACATTTTCCTCCGGGCCCCCTCCCCTCCCTTCCCTTCCCTCCATCCCACATCACTGCCCACTCCATCCCGGACTCGGCCGTCAGCCGCCGCAATCCCGCCCGCCCGCCCGCCGGCTTCCAAGCCGCCCGCCCGGCCGGCCGTCCCTCGAGCCAGCCCGCAGCCCGGCCCGCGTCCCCGGCGCCCCTCGCTCGCTCCCACGCCTCTTCCCAGAGGCGCCCCGGCTCCCCGCCCCCCGCCCCCTCGCTCCGCACGGCTCTGCGCCGGAGCGCGGCTCCACCACAGCCCGAGAGCCGCTGCCGAGCAAGGACGAGGCGGACCCCTCCGCCCCGCACCCCAGGCCCATTACCGGCCCCGCCGCCGCCGCCGCCGCCTCTCCCGTCACGGTCTCCGCCGCCCCCGCTGCCGCCTCAGCCCGTGTGCAAGGAGGGGAGCCCGGGGCGTGCTGGTCCCCCGGCCCGTCGCGAGGCTCCCGGGGCTGCAGGGTGTGTGGGCCGGCCGGCCGGCAGGCGGCGGGGGGCGGGCGGCTCTGCACTCGGGCACCCCGGGCAGCACAGCCCAGAACCGCCCCGGCTCCGGCTAACAATAGGCTCCGGCTGCAGCGCTCTGCCTCTTATAGGCGCCGGCGCGTCGTGGCCGGGCCCCGGGGCAGCCTGGGAAATGGAGTCTCCACCCGGCCCACGCCCAGTGGCATGCCGGGAGTCGGAGGCGGCCAGTGCCGCAAAGCCCTAGCCCGCCCTGGAACGAGCCTCGGACCCCTGGGGACAGACATCAGGGCAGCTGCAGCCTTTGCAAGCGCGAGGCTGCCGGCCCTGGGCTACACATCCGCGCGAACTAAAGGAATCCTCCTATAAAGCCCTCCTTCTCCCCGCACCAGGACCCCATGCCCACGCCTGAGGAACGTGATACTCACGTTCATGGGGTTGTCCCCATATGACTTGCTGCAGCTGGCCTAAATTAATCAAAGGAATTACAATGACCTTTCTTCTTCTTCTTCTTCTTCTTCTTCTTCTTCTTCTTCTTCTTCTTCTTCTTCTTCTTCTTCTTCTTCTTCTTCTTCTTCTTCTTCT